TGTAGCTCAACCTTTTTCAAAATCCAAAACAATACGTTTAATTTCTTTTTTTCTTATGTGGATCTGTAGATTAAGGGCTCTTACTCATGTTGTTACCTGGCAGGACAACTTGATTAACTTTAAAGCAGTGCCATCTGCTGGACGTAATAAAAACCATAATTTTAGAATAAGATACTGAGCCACTTTGGAAATTGAAAACGTATGAAACAACTTTCCCGTCTTGTCATGTGCTTTTCCGCTTTTGAAAGTGATATGAAAATAAACGACAAACAACTCGTTCTTTGGATTTCGTTTACCTACGTTTAGTTTATTCTTGTGCAAATTTGCTAATCCAGTCATGGAGAAAAGGTAAGAAGTTAAATTCCAGTCTTGCCTGAATGCTAGCCAAACAATAGCCCATTTTGTTTTTCAGGTTTTTAAAACAACTTTTGTCCTTCAAACAACACAACAATGTGAAATAAATAAAAAATGTTAACACTTTTTTTTATGGCACCGTTTATTTAGTTTGCCATTCTTCTCTCAACCGAAGAACATCTCGTATTACTAGTTGAACGGAAGTGTGCCGAGCGTAGACCGATGTATGCTGATCAGTCTGCTTAATCAGTGCTTCTAATCGGTCCAAAGTTGACTCAACTCCGTTCGGACTCGTACGTTAAACACCCGTGGCACCAATAACAGGGTCACAGTTTACGCTTCGCACACATACATTCATGTAGTAACACGGATGTTCTGGGCTTGAGAAAACTGCAGCAGACTAAACAAATGGTGTCATGCAAAAGTTTAGTGGGTTAATGTTAGTGATTTCACACATTGTCGTTTTTGAGAGTTGTTTATAAGCCATGGCTCAACCTAGCCTGGATGAAGACTTCTGCCCTTTTTCTGCATGCTACGTGCTCTGTGACTGATTTCACGGCTAATAAGTTACTAATTATTTATTACTATTTGACTGAATATCACTTCAAAAATGACCAGTCTATCACTTAATATTGGGGAGTTTACTCCAAGTTCAAAAGGATTCTCCTTGAGTTATATCTCTTGAGTATCTGGAAAGGGAGGAAAAAACAAGCAAAGTTTGCAAGGAAAACCAAGTTGGCCGGGATGAACGCAAACAAACCTGAGCTCCCAAAATGAACCCGCTCCAGGTTTTAATGACGGTGGAGACGTTACTGCACTCCCTGATTGAGCTACAGGTAATAGATACAGATTGCTACTTTCCTTTTTAATTATCCTTTTAATTACTATTTTATTTTCACTTGTTAAAAACATAAATAAATTGGTACGCATCCTTTATTGTTGTCGTTGTTGTCATCACTCTTTGTTAAAATTCAGGTCTCTCTTGTAAATGAGTCCCCGAGGCTCAATAGGATTAACCTGTATAAATAGAGGTTGACTGAATGAAAGATCATTTTGAGCTCTTTTAAAGTTTCCAGTAGAAATGTTGTGTCGCTCACCGATGAGTTTTGCTTCCCCGACATATTAGCATCAAGCCAGGCGGAAATGCGTGAGGTTGACAGGTCGCACATGTGCAGTCAGGTCTGTTTTCCACGATCGGAATAAAATGATCAGATTAAGTGTTTACATGCACACCATTTGGATTATGAATCGGCATAAACCACTCGTCTCATTCAGATTACAAATTCATTGAGATCGACCTGAATCAACTATCAATAATCCGAATGGGGCGTTTACATGACACATTTTTATTCCGAATTACCGTTTAATCCAATTACTTATGTCCATATTACCATAGCTAATGCTGTGTGTGTGTGTGTTGTTGAAAGGCCTCTGGAGTACAGAGGTGCATTTGCCAGAAGTGGTCCTCCGTTCATGCTCGTGCGTCTTACCCTTTGCTTTTTTGCTGTTCTGAGCAAAGTATCAGGCGACGGAAGGAGGAAACGACTAAAGAAACAAGTGGTTCACACCCCTGCAATAACAGCAGGACCAACGAAGGGGAAGTCTAACCCATGCTTTTCACGCTTTTTCCTGACTCCTCCACCCACCACCCTCTTACAGGAATTGTTATCAGGGTAGAGGAGACTAAAGTGTGACTCTAGCGTGCGTCTCTGTGTACTGTCAATTTAGCAGGTCCACAGTTTTTAGGTCAGCATCCTTATTTGTGATTGTTCATAAATGTTGATTCAGAGAGGATTTGCGTGCCTGTTTGAGGTAAAGCTGCCCTATTTTTATTTACAATGAAACTTGTCACTTGTGAAGCTATGATTGGTATCTTAAAACAATCAACAAGAAACGGCTATTACCAAAGGTTTTCAGTTTTTGACATGTTCAGGCTTGGCGCAGGCCAAGACATGTTTTTATTTTCTTTCATTTGTCTCAAAAAGACACATGGATGTAGGCTGCCTACCTGCTCCCACCCATCCATATATGTGCACACACTCGTGCTGTCACCCCTGAAAAGAGGTCAGATGCGATGATCGTCTGAGCGCCTTCCCATCTTCTTCCACTAACCCCCCCCAGTCAGTTTGCTTTGGCAGGGCATGCATGCCTGTGTCTGTTATCTACAAATGGCTGAGGAATTATAGGTTGAGAGGGGAGGAGGAGGAGTGAGGGAGGAAGAGTGTGAGGTGGGAGGGAACACGGGGATGAGGTCATGTGACATCGCAGCAGCTGCTAGCCTAAGAATTTCTGTTTTCTCACTTGGGGAGAGAGCTTGTGCGAGGAGGGGAGAGATAGGCAGTTTTGTAGTGTGTGTGTTGCTTTGTTAGATAAGCTCTAAACGGTTTGCGAGAGACAGGAAGACAGGCTGGCAGGGAGGGAGGGCGAGGGTGGATGGGTAAGAGGAGATAGACGGAGATCGTGAAAGAAAGGCGTGTAGGAAAATGGTGTGTGTCCCGTTGGTCACTGTCGGCGTGCGCTGGGATGGGTCTGATGTGCGGATGCAGCCATGGGGGATCCAGTCGGCTCCACTTCTTTGTGCAGTAAGGAGCTTCAGCCAACCTTTTGATCTATGAGAGGAATTCATGAACCACTGCCAGACCTCTCGATGTGTGCGTTTGTCTAGCTGTCTGTCTCTTGCTTTCCTGTCATCCAAATATGGTTGTCTGTAATGTGGTTTTATGCAGTTTATCAGGAACAGCATGCACTGTGGTCTGACTCTGTGCTGTTTGTTTCCCACGAAGTTTCCTGGGGTGTTTTGTTTTTAACTTCCCTTTTCAGGCTTTATTTGACTTTTTCTTGAACAAGAAGACATACTCTATCGTCTTGACAAAGTCATGTTTTTTTTAGTGTAGTCCTGAACCTGAGGTGTTGATAACTTTTGCTGTTTGCTATGCAGGCAGTGGTCGGTGTTTATTCCATTATTAATTGTTTGCTGGGTTCATTCAGAGTGCACTGGGTAACTGGGAGGTTAGAGGCAGGACAACTCAAGAGGTGTTAGGAATGCTATTCACTGTCTCATGCCTCACTTAACCACCCGGTGTGTGTCCGCTCAACACACATGCACACATGGTGCTTGCCCTTCTGCGCTCTACTTCATAAAGGAACGTGATCTTTCTACAGCCCCTCAGCTTTTGGGGTGAACCCAGATCTAACTTCTACTTATCTACCCATGGTGTTGATGTACAGTAATAAGAAACTCTGATGGCAGTTTTCTTTCTCGTGGATGTGGCTGTGTTCGCTTGAAGAGTATGATGAGTGTCGATTCACCACAGTCTTTGAGTAGCTCCACATGTCTGATAAGAGTTGTGTCATGCAAAACTTAACACTAGTCCGAACTTTGCTTGTCCTTTGAGCAATCTCTAGTGTGTGTGTGTGCATGTGTGTGTGTTCGCACACATGTGTGCATATGTGTTTGTTTGAGCATGTAAGACTGTATGACTCTGCTCTGGCATTTTAGGGATTCCGCTGACAGAGAAGACCTGACAAGATGGTTTACTTTACAACACACATGCATATATGCACACACGTTTTTGTAAATGTACTTTTTGGGGACTTTGCATTGACTTCCATTCATTTTCTATAGCCTAACACTGACCCTTACCCTAACCATTACTAGTTCATGCCTAACCCTAACATGTCCACAATTCACACCTTGGTCCTGAACCTAACCCCTAACCCCACAACGAGACTTCTCCTTATGGGGACCTGGCTTTGGTCCCCATAAAGAGCAGTTCGTTCCCACAATGCATGATTTTTTAGTCAAATTGGTCCCTAAGAGGTAACCTGAAACAAAAACACGTGAACATGCACACACACACACACACAAATGAACATATACACAGGAAGGAAATGGACAGCCGTCTCAGCCCTCCTCATCTTCTGCATTTTACATGACTTAACCCACCACAGATCTTCCCTGACTTTAGTTGTTGCTTTAACAGTTTGCTTTTTATATATCTCTTTTGAATGTTGCTGACATATTTATTTTATTTTTTACTTAAGCTTCTGCATTAGTCTTCTTTGTAGTGCCTTTTTTGCAACATCTGTTTGATCAAGCACTATAAGCATACAAATATAGCACATGCTTTCCTATGATGATTTTTCTTCCTTTAATTCATCAAGGAACACACTACAGGATGTTTGTGTACATGTATGTAAAATTGATACTACTGAGTAAAAGGTTATCTTGGTATTATCAGAGCATGCTCAAAATAACTTCTGTGTAAAATGTGCCAATGGACCTCTGGCAGACATGCATGTTGCTAACATTTTCTGAGCAAAGGAAGAGTGAGCTGCCCTCCTAACCTTCCACCTTTTGACCCGAAGGCTCAGTATCCAATCCCCTTCCTCCCCAGCTGTCATGATACCCACCAACACTCTATCCTGACTGTCTCTGTGCCACAGAAAGCAGCCCGGTGCCGTAGACCACTTGCTTATGTTTGCCTGCATTGTTGGCATATTTTGTTCTAAAATAAGCAGTTTTGTTTGGCAAGTGGATATTTTGAGTTAAAAATCTTTCCCATGTCAGTGTTTTGCTTGGTCTTTTGTTGTTAGGTGTATTATGTTTAATGTTTCCTTTCTCCTCTGTCTTTGTCCACTTTTAGGCATGAGCCATGAGCCAAAGTCACCATCATTAGGAATGATCTCCACAGCGACGCGAACCACGGCGACAGTCAGCCCCCTCACCCCGTCACCTCTTAACGGCTCCATCGTAGCAAATGGAAGCCCAGCTGCCCAGTCAGCGCACTCTGGATTTGCCGCAGCCCTCCGTAAACTGGCTAAACAAGCCGAAGAGCCTCGAGGTAAAACTACAGCTCCTTGTGACACTAAAAGTTTGCAAGCGCATACGAACTGTGTGATCGATTTCTAGGGGTTTTCTAAAGTGGATTGAGAAGAACAAATTTAGCGCAGATAAAAATTGTTGGCTTTTTTTTTTTTTAAGTTTACTTTTCTTACTGCATGCTTGGTAGGTCTCAGAATGTGTTGTCAAAAAATTTTAGGTGCAAAGGGAGAAAAGCTTTTCTGTTTTCTTTGTTGTTATTTCCATCCATCCATTATCTTTACCCGCTTATTCCATTTTGGGTCACGGGGGTCGCTGGTGCCCATGTCCAGCAATCACTGTGCGAGGGGCGGGGTACACCCTGGACGGGTCGCAAGTCCATCACAGGGCCACATAGAGACAAACGAGACAAACAACGATTCACTCTCCCACTCACACCTAGGGACAATTTAGAGTTACCAATCAGCCTAACATGCATGTTTTTGGTCTGTGGGAGGAAACCGGAGTACCCGGAGAAAACCCACGCATGCACGGAGAGAACATGCAAACTCCACCCAGAAGGCCCCTGGACCGGGGTTTGAACCAGGGACCTGCTCGCTGAGAGGCAGCAGCTCTACCAGTTGCGTCACCGTGCTGCCCTGTTATTTCCAAATGCATAAAATTTAGTAAAATACAATGCTTTATTGGAGTTGCGTCCTGTGCCTGTGGGCTCTGTGCCTTGGCACCACGGAGGTCCACCTTCTCCAGCCTGCCTGCCTTTTGTTTGGGCTCTTAAATCAGATGGTTCCCACCTTATTTGCTGTCCCTGGATGTGTGGCTCTCCAGCCCGCTGGAGTCTGGGACCCAGAGCCCTGCAGATGATTTATTATCCTCATGAAGAGATCAGTCACATCCACCAATCACCTCACCTCACCTCCCTCTCCGTCTTTCTCTCCTTTATCTCTCGTCACTCTTTCACACTGAATGTCAGCCCTACCACTTTCTGCCTTTTATTCTCTCTTTATCAAACAACAAAAAAAAAAGATTCTCCTTTTTAAAATTCACTCCAGCATTTTAGTTTTATTGTAAGCCACTTTCTTTCTGTTAAAACAATCTTTCTTTCATTGTGTCTTTCATTAAAAAAGTTCTAAGCATTTATTTTGTATTCAAGCAAGGTGAGAATAAGAGTGGGCAGATCAACAAAACTAATAAGAAGGACATTTTCTTGTCTTTGTCATACAGTTAAGAGATTCCTCCTGATAGAGATCTAGTTCCTTTTCATTACAAGAAAAAATCCTTTCTCATTATCAAGGCCTGGCTGGAGTAGGTAGTGATATCTTGGTGAGTCAGCAGTCAAGCATACAGTTTAGGTGTGACTGCCCATGTAAGGAGCACCATTTCCAAGGTGGGCAGAGAGTCATGAGGCCCTGAAGCTCAAGTCATTTTTCTGTCTGCACAACCTGTATTTATAGGCAACATACACACCCTAACACCCCCACACATACAAACAGTTGTCTTTGCAAAACTATAAGCCTTGTGATTTCTGTGCATGCTGCAGCCTGCTGTCCTTTCATTAGCTTTTGACTCAACCTCTTTTTCTCTTTCTCAACCTCTGGTTATATTTTAGGGACAGTGCAAATGAGATGCCATGACTCATGTTCTAAAGCTTTAAGGAATTAGTTAGGTTTGAGCACTAGTATCACTGCCACCAGACACTGAACTGATTTAAGACCCTGAGCATGGCTGCTGTTTATATACACACCCATACACACATACACACACATACATCGTCACTTGTCTGAGGCAAGTATAATGAATAGCTCTGTGTATTGAGAGCGATGCTGAAGAGGGGAGGTGATGGATAATGAGTATCGGAGCAGCATAAAGGACACTCTCATCCAGCTTACACTCAGATCACATGTGCAAGCAAACCCTCGCAGACTCCGCTAACTCTCTGCCTCAGGAAAGAAGACCTACTGATATCTGATTAATTAAGCAGATCTCTGCCTAATCATGTCGGGTGTTTCTTCTCGCTCACCCGTAGACACACAGACATAAGAGTTTCACGACTGTTTCCAACTGTAATATGTTTTGTGGGGAAAAAATGAAAGGAGGGAGAATAAAAGTCTTCAGGATAAATGAACTGGATGGATGAAAGAGGGAAAGGAAGTAATTAGTAGATTTGTGGAAAACAGAAGTCTCAGTTAGAGTGTGTGTGTGGGTGTTTCAGAGTGTGTGGCCAGAGGCTTCCCTTGTTTTTGGGAGCCCAGAGCATGCTGGGACAGTGGGGCAGTGTGTCTCTGACCTCTCCATCTGGAGCCTGCCTGCAGCCCACACCGCCTTGCTGTGCTCAGCGTGTGTGTGTTTCTCAAAGGCAACCCCTTTAGGCCGTGACTGTCCCTGAAACACTCACAAACACGCTTGTTTCCTTTACCTTCCCTCTGATTTTCTGTGCTCAGCAGTTCGGCCACCTCTCACGAGTCGGATCAGAAATGAAGCAGCATTTTCATGTACAGTTTGTACAGTCGACAGAAGGCACACAGGATCGCTCCCCTTATTTTCATCCGCCATCTTGTACTGTCTTCATTTTTCCCACAGGCACAGCAACACACACACTGTGTGTGTGTGTGTGTGTGTGTGTGTGTGTGTGTGTGTGCGTGCTTCTCCCCTCCCCCAACCTAGTGATGCAGATTACAGGCTTTGTGTTGTGTTGTCAGTGCATGTCCAAGACTGTGGTAGCAGGTGTGTGCAGTGTTTGCATCAGTCTGGTGTGTGTTGTGTTCGTGAGTGTGTACAAGAGTGCACGTGTTGAGGCTTGTGCTGGTGGGGTGGCATATGGATGCAGGGCTGGCTGGGCACTGCTATGCACACCAGGTGTGAAATGGACTGTTTAATTAAGTGCTGATGTTGTTGTAATGCATGCTGCGAGAGAGGAGGGTGGAGGAGGAGATGTGGGGTGAGGCGGGTGGGTTGGCAGGGTGGAGGAGAAGTGGACTCCTCCTGGCATGATGAGACGTATGCTTGATAGTTTCAGCAGAGGGGATGGCGATGAGAGAAGACTCCTGGGCTGGACAACCCTAAAATATTTTAGTGTGGTTCTGTCATCCTATCAGCAACCAGCAGGGTTGGTGTGTGTGTGTGAATAAAAGGGCCCACTGTGGCAGCCTTTTCACCGGGTCAGTAGCTTAAGTAAAAGGTGTCGAAGCAAGAACACTTGGCCACAGCCTCTGACCACAAATTATATGGTTTGTTTATTGCTGCTGTTGGTTGTGTGTGTGTGCGTTTGTGGATAAGGTTGAGCAATCAAGTGTGGAGGTAGTCAATGAGAACGAGGACTGGTAATAGAGGAGGCAATGGAGAAAGGAGCATCACATTAATCATACTGAGTTTGGAGCTGAAACTGGATTCTCCCTTTTATCTATAATGTTGCACTTTTCTCCTCTGTTCCTCGATGCCTCCCAGCCCCACCCTCCCGACCCCAACATCACACCACGCACATCCCAGCACATCAAGGAAGTAAAAATCAGTGCTGCTAATGAAGTGCAGGTTGAGAGCTGATGAACCTATTTTAAACTCTGGGGATGGAAGCCTGTGCTTTGTTCCTCCTCTCAACTCCCTGCAGGCTCAGCATGTGTGGCCATCTTCTTTCTATAGATTGCGTGTGTGTGTGTGTGTGTGTTGGGGGGGGGGGGGGGGGGGGGTGATATGGCTGCAATGAAACTAGGCTGGTTCCAGTCATATGCCTTGTATGTATGATTTCTCTCCAGTCACATTATAGTATGATGAATATGACTTTATGTAGTTTCATTTATGAACACCTGCAAACATGTGACTGCTATCACAGCAAATACTGACTTTAAAAAAAATTCTGCTTTATATTGGACAAATGTGCATCTAGCTAGCAGGCAATGAGTAACAGAAGGAAAATGAGGAAGGGGGTATGAAAACACAGTGGGCATGTGGAGTGGTGTTAGAAGGTGGTGGGAACAATAAAGGGATAATGGAAGCTTTTTTTTTAACCATTTTTATTATTTTTATTGTGTATGCCCATCAAAGAAGAATGCTACACAGATTCTTCAAGTTGGAGGCAGAGAATAAAGCAGCTGGTCGACGACTCCTCTCGTTTATTTCCATCCTACCCTTACCTGTTTGTTTTCCTGCTCTTAATTATTTAGTCAGCACTGCCTCTTCTGTGGTCTGCTCTGCCTCTATGTTGAGGATGAGGAAGAGGAGGAGATGAGGGGAGGTAAAAAGAGGAGGGGGGAATAGATGGAGGACAGCTCTGTTGCTTAGCAGTTCAGAATCACTGTGATCACCCCATCACCGTCACTCCTGTTTTATTTGTTCTTCCATCCTTGTGTATGCATGATGCCTGTGTGTGTGTGTGTGTGTGGGGTGGGGGGGGGGTGAGTTAGAGAGAGAGAGAGAGAGAGAGATGAGTGAATAGGATGTGACACTAGAGCTGTATTAAGTGTAGCCCCATTCCCCAGGCTGAGTGGGCTGCTATTGATTGGCCTAGTCTTGTAGGGGAGAGTAATGGCTCTCCGAGGTGAGGGGTGGGGTGGGGGGGTTGTAGGGGATTAGGCCACTAATTGCCATTGTGCAGACAAGATATGGCTGCCCCACCCCAACCTCTTCCACCATCTGCACTCCTTATCTGTGCTTTCCTCTCTGAGCTCTCACCTCGCTCCTCTTTTTGCACTCTGTTTATTTTTCTAATAACTTCTCATCTCTTATCATTTTTCATTTCCACGTCTTGCCACACATTGTTTTTTTCTGTTTACTTTTTTTTTTTCCCACTCTGGACGTAGTCCACCACCACCACTCAAACACAGATTTTTCATATAGGCATGACCTCACTGCTGTTATACTATTTTTTTTCTCTGTATTTCTTTATTTCATTATTATATGGTAGTAATCAGAGTGAAGATTTTGAAATCATTCAGTGTCTTAGCATCCTATAGTACAGTATTAACTGATGTTGTCTTTTGGTTATGTTGCCATGGAAACCAAAGCAGAAAAAAGATGGCAGATGAGGAGAAATCTGTTATTTTATTTTTTTTGAGTAAAATTGGAGCCAAATCAAACCTAAAACTGCTCATGAGTTTTGCTGGCTGTTTTTTATTTATTTATTTTTTTATTTTATCGTAATTTTGTCCCGGTTCAATTCAATTGCATATAAGCATTTCGTTGCACAAATATGCTACTTGCATACTTCAGCACTCATTTCTCTTTGTCCTTTTTGCGGCACCAAAGTGTACGTATCCCATTGAGAGGGTTGTGACCCAGTTTGACTGTGTAATGCTGCACTTCCTCTGAGAGCAGGTGATTTTACAGCACACTACTGTCAAGAGAAGAAGCTTGCAAGAGAAAAATGGAATGAAAGAACACATATGATGTTGTAGGGTAAAACACTGCGGGGTAACAAAGTTAAATTATTACAAGAAGGGAAGGCTGAAGGATAAACTACAAATGGTCAGGTGATATATTTGATTGGATCAAGGAGTAAATGAGGGAGGTGAGGAAGATGAAATTTGAAATGGAAGTATGTTAATGTGAGCACATCATGTTTGAGGTTTGTAGCTAGAGAGAGGGCAAAACGAGATGTGCTGAAAGCGAGGCATGTGACCAGACCGTGACCCTGCGCCACAGGGTTTCCCTGGAGGGCTTTGTTAATGTGGCACAGCTACAGCACAGCCGAGAAGCTCATTGGGCCAGCTTTTCACCACCTGCTGTGCTTGTGTACGTGTTGTGATGAGAGAAGAGCTCTGTAAGCGTCGCACATACATACAGTAATAGTGTTAGCGTTTAAACGGTGTGTTGTAGTGTTTGTCTGTGTGATCCGGCTGTTCATCCCGATCACCGTCATGCTAATCAGGATCCGTGGCCATCCGTCTCATTCTATACGTCTGTGTTCTGTAAGCCCAGAATAACTTGTGAAGGAACACAGTTCATGTTACATTTTCAATTTATTGGGAACAAGCAAACGGTATATTTCATGTATTTGTCTTTTTTTTTTTTTCCTTCAGCTGCATCCTCCATCAGCAGCGAGTCATCTCCTGTGTCATCTCCAGCCACCAACCACAGCTCTCCGGTCAGTACACCCAAGAGAGGTCCCCTTGGTCCAGGACCGGTCCTGGTTCCCCCAGCGGGACACAGTGTGCCAAACACTCCACCTGTAGTCACCATTGCTCCAACAAAAACGAGCAACGGCCTGTGGCGGACCGAGGGACGCCAGGTATAACATTTTTACACACCCTTCTGAAGTCTGCACTTTCTTGTCTTTGACTTTAAGTTGCTCAGATGTAGGGATGCACGATATTGGATTTTTGTCCGATAACCAATACCTATATTTTTTTATTTACAGAGACTACATAGCTTTCTCTACTGTGGAATTAAAATGCTACATTATTCTGCGTGGTCTTTGTCAGTTTGGGCTGCTACCAAATGCAAATGCCAAAAAGGGGGCTGAAAATGATGTAACACTTCAACTTGGATTATGTTTAATGTCAAATTTATTCATGACATTTATTCTCTCTAACACAATGACAACACTCGAACAGTGCAAATTTGTAAATTTTCACAAATCTAAACTCAACCTGTTCACAAGATACAAGTGAAAAGTGCATAAGTAGTAGTGCATTAATGGATATAATTGACAGTTTCTTAAATTAAAAATTAACTTAAAACAGAAGCCTTTCATATCAGTGGGTTATTTTGATGGAATGGCCAATGTTCGATGTTTAACTTTATCACTAATATCGACCGTTACCGATAACATGCCGATAATATTGTGCATCCCTACTCTGATGTCTTGTGCTTCCTTTGTGTGTTATTCTCGTCTCTTACCCAAGTAATGTCCTAATCTTCTTATTTGTTTACTTGTCTCAGCACAATTGTACAACCAGATAGGCTCTTCAGGGATCAATTGATTTTATAGCAGGTCTGCAGCTAACGTGCCAGTATATACTTGGCTTATGTGCTGGTAGGTCTATGAATGTAGCTCTACAAACTCAGTGGCTTGATGCACCAAACAATCCCAGCTGCCACTGGGACATTGAGGTGACAGCGTCAATGGCAGTTAACATCTGTGCCCCTCTGGGCCCTCTCCCACTTGTCCCCCAGAGAAGTCCCTCCCTAGTTCTGGTCCTGATTCTGTTCATCCTCCAAGCCATACCCCAATCACCTAAGCAGTCAGCTGCATCCTGTGGCTTGTCGACCTGACACCCACCACTAGTGAGGGCGAGAGAAGGTGGGAGAGCTGCTTGCTTTGATAAGGAGTGGATTATGGATTATGGCCTTGCTTTAAGCCTTCTTATCTCTGCTCAGGGCTAATGGTTGAGGCCAAGTACATGGTTCTGAGCAGCACTCGGCAACATGCGGAAACTCTCCAGGACATTTTGACTGTTCCCAGGGGACAAACAGAAGGGTGGATTGTGAGGGGTGGGTGATTTGGTCAATCAGCCAGATATGTGTGGTAGCATTCAGGCCATTGTCCTTTCTCTTGGAAACCCCCCACCTGAACTTCACCCTGTGCAGCCACAGCATTTTCAAAATGTTGCAGTTCAAGGGTCAACCAAAGCAGAAAGAAGCTGTAGAGGCAGGGAAACTGTCAGAAAGACTACATCCTTTTGTTTTTTTTATTGCTTTAGCGTTGCCGTTTCACATACCAGGAGGAAAAATAAAGCGGCAAAGACTTCCATCATTGTCTTCATTCGGTGTTGCTAATTCTCAAATGTTGCTAATTCTCAAATGTATGCATGTGTTTTGGTGGTTTTTATGCCATTTCTGTGAGTGTGTATCTAGGAGGTCAAGCTCAAACTGAAAAGGTCAGGTCAATGGGTTTGCAGCACCCCCAGAAGCAGCTCTAGGCCACCAAGCTGCACAATAAGGAGGTTAAGGGAGGTGATGATGACAAGAGGTTGGGGTGAGGGGTCAAAAGGTTGGGGGAACTGGGGAGATGCGTCATGAAAGCTGGCGTTGTGGCATCTCCAACATTTGTGCTACAGCCCTTTAAAAAGCCAGAAGACTTTGAAGAAGCGCATACAAATGTTTTCATTTTTTAATGCAGACGGACTAATAAAGTTTTAAGCTACTGAGCAGCATTTTACAGTGCAAAAAAACCCAAGCAGTTGGTTTTACACAGAGTCTGTAGTCTGCTTTTTGGGGCTCCTGTAAAGTATCCACTAAATGTCTGTGCCCTCTTTTTGTATATTAAGAGTATTTCAGTGACTGAGACATGGGCCTGCCTTTCAGAGGTAGGGTTACAGGCAACGCAATGAAGGAGGAATGGCTCAGTGCGCTGGCATTTTGCTTTAATGACTGCGGGAGTCTGCTCCCGCTGCAGCCTGTAATTGCTTTATAATTGGCAATTTGGATTCATGCCTCCATCTGAGAGGCATAAACGAGCACTCTACAATGCACAGGGTCTCCCACCTTCACCGAGGGTTACAGGGGCCTAGCTCATGCTGAGGAAGATGGCTGCTAATGGATGTGTCTTTGAGTTTTTGAGTTTCAGTGTGACAGGGTACTGGTGAAGAATATATTTTCAGCAAGTGAGAAGTCAAAAAGGCATGAATGGTTGATTGTGTAGGCGCTTGAGTCGCTAAAGGACCTCTCTAGTGGGAATAGAAAGTTTCGTCTTTGTAGAATGGGCTTTTTACAATAACGACATGCAACATCTAAATCTTTTGTGTAGAATTATTTAAATAATAAATAAGGGCTGAAAAAGTGTAATGATAGGAAGGCGGCCGTATTATTATTTGAACTATTTTAAGCACTTGATCTCTTATGTAACAAGTATTTGCTGTCTTTTAACACTTAAGTGGATAAAACAAGGAACCAAATCAATCTGTGGCTAATTTATAATAACACAAAAACACCTTAATTATGGCTGTGTCATGTTACTGTAATATGATTTGTGGATGTTTTTTGTAAAAGTATAGTTGATTGATTTTGGCTGTAATTTGTGCCTGGAAATTGCATCAATTTACAGTAACTACTTAACAGACTTAAAGCTGTGGTTTACTGACGCAAATAATGTGTATAGTCAGGAAGGATACACTGTAAACCTGCCCGAGTCAAATTTTAATTACAAACTAGAGTTTGGCCATCCTTTACTTGTAATGAAGGTATTTTAATTGATGAGCAGCTTCTTTCCCTCTTGGATTATGGTCTGTGGATTGTATTTTGTGCATATATTTGCAGCTGACACATTTTATAATTAACACATAGATCTGTCAATACATCTAGCATGAGAGATTTTCAAGCAGCCATGACAATAATGAAGCTTTGTTGTGTGATTTTACTATTTGATAAGGTTTGGGTGACTGAAAGCAGCTGTTTTACAGTGCAATTTACTTTAAAGTCATTACCCACTAGTTATGTTTTCTACGTTTGTGCCACTAATGGAATCAATGAGCGTCTGTGAATGACATGGTATACAATCTGTGGACTTCCGAACATCATCACAGCAGCGTATCCATCCATCCATTATCTTTTACCCACTTCTTCCTTTTTGGGTCGGGTTGGCCCATTTCTAGCAGTCACTGTGTGAGAGGCGGGGGACACCCTGGAATGGTCACAAGTCCATCACAGGGCCACACCAGTGCACTTTGATTTGCTACATGGTTGTTGCATCCACATTAGCTAACTGATTGGTACTTTGTAATTTTCTTACAGTTTTATTCATTCCTTATTTTCTACTGGCTGCATCTAGGCTTCTTTTGTGTATGAGTATGGGATCTATCTACCATAGTAGTCCCTTACTTGGTATGTTCAAGCACCAATATTTGACAGAGTGCCATTGTTGGCTGGTATGGATGTAATTTTTTTAATAGATGCAAAGATTATTTTACTGAACATATTGGTCACATAGAGAGCACCGTGAATAAATGGCAAAGGTGCAAACAAATTTAGATATAATATTGGAATGCTGATTACTGATGCAATCATATGAGCATCCACAAAACTAATCGAATAGAATCTCTGAGTCATCAAGCAAGAAGAAAACTTAATACCTTCTTAAAAATGGTATTTTACACTTTTAAAGTTAGAGCAAGTACAAGTAATTTATTACCAAATCACAATCCATTTTTATCTTTGCCTTTTTGCCTTTTGCCTTTTGTTTTTTTGTTCACATCCTGTTTTGATGCCTTGCTAGTTTTGAAACGCAAAAATAAATACAAGACTCAGCCATGTCTGCAGCTCTATTCTATTTTTAAAATGCACATGCTGATTGGTTGACTGCTTATTTAAACTTGTGGATCATTTTTTTATTGATCCCAGAACAAAATATGAATATGCTAAATTTCAGTATATAGGTAAAAATTCTGCTGTGTGTATATATATTTAAAAAATTGATCTGCAACATCAGCCCATATATTCAAAGACCTTATGGCTCATAAAAGAAAGAAAAAGATGAGCAGCAGAGTAAACATTAACAGAAATTGTCATTCCCAAACTACACTGTGATACTGGCAGATTTTGACGTACATGACCCTCTTTTCCACTTGGCTGGTGACGCCATCAGGGAACATCCACCTTCTCCTTGTACTCATAAAGCTTTAAGGGAATTGGGATGGGGTGGAGGAGACTGCTTGCTTTGAGGGAATAAAGTGCCATGGTGTTAAGTGAAGCGCAACAAACCACACGGAGCGCACAGTAACATTAGACTACTCGAAAGTGTGGAGTGGGGTTTAAACAAAGGGTCATGTGAGGAGTCTGAACATTAGAGGCATTTAAGATTGGAAGTTGGCGCATCGGTGTCAGCCTGGGTCAGTGGCTGTGGAGGAGGATGTGGAGGTAATGGCTCAGTAAATGGGATTTGTTTTATCAAAGGCAGTGGTGAGAGAGACAGCAGCACTGCTGTAAGGTCTCTTTCTATTCCCAGGGAGCCCAAAGGTTAATTTAGTGGGGCGAGAACTGCCTTCTCCTTTAGCTCACTGGCTTTACGGCTTCATCTCAATCTTTTCTTTTTTCTCTCTCTCCTGTTGTTCTCTTGCCAGCTCCAAGTCTGGATTTGTAAAATGTGTGATAAATATCCCATTTTTCCCATGGAAATCTTTCTTGATTGTGCATTCTATAATCAATGTCCTTGTAGAAATGGTAAGGATTGTAAAATGTTCAGTAGCGCAATTGCATTTGTAGACCAATTAAAGCCAAAGCTTGAGAACGCACACTCCCACTCTCACAGCAGGTTGTCTTTTGTAGCTCTGTAACAGTGTATGTGCCTGCTGAGTGTCTGTGTTTGCTTGTTGTGGGATTGAATAAGTGAGACTAGGCTTGCTGCCAAAAGGATGGAGGGAGGGGATGTGAAAGGGAAGAGAGAAGAAACATAAATGGAGGCAGTGGGATGTTGCTTTTCAGACTTTGTTGTCTTCCCTGTAGACGTTGCTTTGAGCAGGATACATGCAAAATTACACACACACACACACACACTTGGATCAAAGTCGTCATCATTGCTAGAAGCTCAACTGTTGTCTGCCATTACTGCATCCTCATCGATCATACAGATGTCATCTCTTGTTCACAATTAGAGGTAAAACGGTGGAGCTGTTTTTTTTTTTTTTACAACTCTGCCTGCGTCTTTCATTTTACCATAAATTACCTTAGAAAATGTTACGCAGTCTATTTTTAACAGGACGATGCCATGTGAGAAATCGTGTAAAAGTGTGTGAGATGGGAAAAGAGGCCACAAACAGGCTCACTCTTTCTCCCATCTCCCCCCTCAAAGGATTGTCTCCATGAGTGGTGACAACCGTGACGGTCACAGGTTCTAACAAACAATGACCAAGACTCGCTCTCTGTATCTGTCTATAGGCTGACTCGGGGCCTCGAGGGACCAGCAGGGAACGTCTGGGTGCTGAGGGAACCTTCTCACAGGAGAAAGGTGGCCCCTCAGTCCCTGCTCACCTCCTGGGAAACCCCTATGCCTTCGGTCTCACCCCTGGTGCCGTCATGCAGGACTCTCGTTTTCAGCCCCTAAAGTGAGTTCAACGTTTCTGGTTTTCTGTGTTTAACGATTCTACGTGTACCGGTAGTCTTGTTTTCTGAAGGAAAGCTACACTGGTTGAGGTTAGGATCCAACTTTATCTGCATATAGAAAATTTCTGGAGTAAGCCACTTTCCTCTAGTTGACATTAGTGCTGAAAAACCATTTGAATGCATTTAGTTTCTCACTGAATTCTGATGAATTTACAAAACAGTAAACAGAAAAATCCAACTAACTTCTGTTTTTTTCTCTTTTGTCGTGCCTCTTTGTTATCATCAGCCTGCCTAGACAGTTGCCTAATACTGTGCCACCCGGTCCTATACCAGAGGAATACCTCCGGGGATTTCGGCCCTATGCCACAGCTGAGGATGCCCTTAGGATGCCATCTTTGCCTTTAGGCCTGGACCCTGCGACAGCAGCTGCTGCAGCTGCCTATTACCACCCCAGCTACCTGCCCCACCCCTCATTCACTCCATACAGGTAACCATTCTGTTTTTGACCTTGCACCAGTTAATAGATTGTGCAAAAGTAATGTGCATCTTGTTCTACTCTGCGATTAACCCATTACTGCACAGCTAACGTAGAACAGATTTTCCAATTGGTAACAAGTTTTACTTGTTTTTTATTATTTGTAAATTTATTGAACAAAGGAAATGTCAAACAGAGTAAGACATGAATGCAATTCATGGCAGCACAAACAAATGTATTGAGTCCTAGATAAACAAAAAGCAACATAATCTATTAAAATGGATGATTTAAGAAAATTGCCTTCTGGAACTAACCTGTATGATGCAAAACCTTTTTTCAACACCAAAGATTAGAGATAAATTCTACAATCCATTAACAAAGGACAAGCTGCCTGTAAAAAGCCTGTGTTTTAAGAATAAATAGGTGGTCAGGGACATCATAATACTTTTAAAAGGCCGAATGTAAAATGTTGTCACATTACAGTTTATTGCGGAATGATGGGACATTATCATTTGTCTGTCAGATGTTGCAGTGATGCTCTGTTCTTCATACCTTTACCCAAATTAGGCCGTATCCAGTGAAATTAGCAGAAGAGAATTACAGTTTATGATGTTTCTAATCGTATGTTTGGAGCTTGTTCAGGAAGTTTTCTGTGGTGATTTCCTTCAAACATTTATGAAGTGTTTATAAAGATCCTGTTTCAAAATTTCTTAATAGAAATAAGATTTGGTGTTATATCTTATAGCAAGTGTGAGGAAATTTTTACTGAATATATGTGAAACACTCTAAACACGATTGTGTGTGTTCAGAAGGGCGCTGCTTGCTTTGGGCCATCACAGGCTGCATGCTCCTAGTTTGTCATCCGAGATCATAGAACTGCAGCAGCCATCATACACACTGCATTGTAATGGATTTAATGAGGTCTGGGCTGAGGTTGTCACACACGTACACGGAAACACAGTTGTGCATCAGCAATGCTGTCTCTTCCTGGCTGCTGTGTGGTGATTGAGCTTCACTGACAGATACCCCTGCCTCCTTGAAAGTCAGAGGACCTCGTGATGCTCCTTCTTTGGGAGATGGAGGCATACAGGTTAACAAGTAAACGCTGCATTATCTCACTGGAGACTGACTTTCTCTTTTTTCTGTCTTTTTTTCTGGTAATTCTTCTATTTCAGGATGGATGACCCATTCTGCCTCTCTGCTTTAAGGTCACCTTTCTATCCATTACCAGCAGGGGGAGCTTTACCCCCCATCCATCCTTCTGCTGTTCACATGCACCTACCAGGGGTCCGCTACCCTGGGGACTTTGCACACCCTTCATTGTCAGCACTGCAGTCTGAGAGGTAAAGTTCCCCTTGGTAAATGCATGGAGCAGATCTCAGCACTCTGCCGCAATTGTGTTTTTTTTTTTTTTTTTTTTCTAATTTCGCTGACGTCCTTTTGTTTCTTCGTCCACTTTGCTTTTCAGGCTCCAGCTGGAAGATGAGCTGCGGCAGCGCGAGCGTGAGCGTGAACGAGAGCGCGAGCGAGAACGAGAGCGAGAACGCGAAAAAGAGAGGGAGCGCGAGGCAGAAAGGGAAAAAGAGCGGGAGAGGGAACGAGAGCGCGAACGGGAAAGAGAGAAGGAGCTGGAGAGGGAAAGAGAGCGTGAAAGAGAACGAGAGCGCGAGAGAGAACGAGAGAAGGAGAAGGAAAGGGAAAAGGAACTGGAAAGGCAGAAGGAGAGAGCTCTGAGAGAGAAGGAGCTGCAGGCGTCCAAGGCCATGGAGAACCACTATCTCACTGAGCTCCATTCTTTAAGGGGACAAGAGGAACGAACCAAGCCTGAGAGACTGACGCCCAGTCGGGCTGGTATGTGTCCATGCAGCCTCCTTGAACTGCAGCCGTATAACCTCTGGTCCCTGTAAACACTTTACATTAACGAATCAGTAGATTGAATTATAACTTTACCTGCATAATGTACACTGAATATTTGACTTTTAGACTGATTGTCAGATGAAACACAAAACTAGTTCAACTTAATCTCTTCTGACAGAATTTGAAATATTTGTTCAAACCTTGCACTCATTTTTCATCCTAAAATGTATTTAAAATAGCCAATTGATACTTAGATTAAGATGCTTGAGGTTTGCAGAATTGATTTTATAGATTAAATAAAAATAATATTGATAATCAACTTCAGCTAGAACATTGTTTTTCAAATTGACTTTTTTTTTTTTTCCTCCTCTCTGCAGACAAAACCAAAGAGCCCGCCCTTCCAGCTCCCAAACCAGTCCCACCTGGAATCCACTCGTCAATGATTCAACCCCATCATCCCATTCCTGGTCTGATCTCAGGCCACAGCCTTTACTTGGGGCCCAGCACTGTAGCCACGGGGCTCCCAGCCGCAACGATCCCACAGAGGCCCAACGAGGAGGAGCGGTGGCTGGCGCGACAACGCAAGCTGCGGCAGGAGAAAGAGGATCGTCAGTACCAGGTGTCTGAATTCCGCCAGCAGGTTCTGGAGCAGCATCTGGACATAGGCCGGCCCGCTGACGTCCCAGATCACAGGACAGACTCGCACAGGTGAGCGAACTCTCCCAAAGCTGGGTCCAGCCAAGAAATTTCAAAAAGGGTTTTTTTCTTTAAAAACCACATGCCATGGCAGCATTTATTGTGATTTGATTTAGCAATTTCAGAACTATTTTATGCCTGTTATCTGATGGAGACAAGCTGTTCTGGGCTTGTGACAGCAAAATGCAGAAATGCTTTCAGTGCATGCACAATTTAATGTGCAGGGGAAGATTGGTTGGCTGTTTCTGCTAGCCTTACAGGGACAGTTGTTGCTGTGCTTTGAAGCCTCAGAGGATGGCAGGCTTTAGAAGTTCGTTTTCAGGCGGGACTCGGCAGTAAAAGATAAACCCCCTCAGAAGCACCACATCTACTCCATTTTTGTTCGAGCTACCTTCCAGGTCTGACGTGGGAAAACAGACTATTACGTTTAGGCGTTGATTGGGGTTGTAAAGCAGGATCCTGATGACTGCTGTTTCATGAGTGGAAACTGGTAAAGATTTCAAATGGGCAGCGGGTGAGAGTACTTGGATACACAAAAGCTAATTCTCAACTAATCCTCTCAACCATGCACACTCTAAGCCTCCTACCTACCTTCCATTGTTGCAGTGCCTGTGTTTGTGCTGTTGTGCCTGATTCAGAAGAGAGGTTGTGGTTGACGCTGGTAGGACGGGAGGTACACACATGTGCACACACTATCTGTAACCCTACAGTATAATCGCATAATCACAGCTCACAGTCTGCAGATTGCAGATAAGACACACTTTACTTACTCTCGCTCACACACACACGCACAACACAAACAGGAAGCATGGATAATTTGACTGGTCATGCAGTGTGCTCTACTGCCAGGTTTGATTTAGAAATACACTTGAGAAAGTGTCCATCACCAGTCTGCCCTTATTTCCTGCTCACTTTGACTGCTGCTATTCCACCTCTACAGCTACCTCCTCAAACCCCCCCCCCCCCCCCCACCACCACCACCACCACCACCCTCACACATACACACACACACACACACACATCTTTCTTACCGTCCATACATCAGTCTTTTTGTTCTCTGGCATCCTGTCAGAATGACATTTCTTTTGGCCTCTTCTTTAGTGTACTGCTCTCTTCTGTGTGCATGTTTGTGCACATGCATCACTACAAAGGCCTAGCAGATCAAAAACCAGCTTCAGTGTTGGGAGGAAAGTGTGTGCCTTGGCCACATTCTCACTCTGCTCTGGGCTACTCTGTCTGGGTTTGATAACGCTGCTTTGCACAGACACACAGACATGGGTGACAGGAAATAGGCATGGCATACAAGCTTTGTTTTCAGTCTCTATTTTGTATTCGTAATAAGAAAAAACTATTTTCAAAAAAAAAAAAATAGTTCAATTTGCATTGAACTCATTTTCTGTTTATTCTGTCACTGCAGGTCCTTACAAAATCCTCATGAACCAGGAAGCAGAGAACATCACCCTCTATTAGGTGCCCCTCCACCCCTCATCTCCCCCAAACCTCCACAGCCACCTCGTGAACACCACCCTCCACCCCCCACTACCCTGTGGAACCCCGTAGCTCTTATAGAAACTGCCTCCGAATCCAGACGTAACCACGAGCTCTCAGGGATGGGGCACTACGAGCTCAGTCGGCTGCCCCCAGGCCCCTTCAAATATGAAGATGCATCTCGAAGGCGTGATGTGGGAGCCATGGAGAAATATCCTCCACTGAGAGCTCCTCCAGGACTTCCTGAGCCCAGCACCTTCCTTGCTGAGCTGGAGAAATCCACCCAGACCTTGTTGAATCAGCAGAGGGCGTCGCTGCCTCTATCGAGCCAGTATGAAATGGAAGGAAGCACCAAAATCAGTGGGTTGAAGAACTTCCAGGGACATCCGGGGCAAGGTAGACATGGACAAGGTCTTGGAATGGTCCCCGGGTCAGGGATGGTACAGGCAGCTCCATCGGGGATGGGTCCAGACTCGATGCTGATCTATGCCGAGTTTCTCCAGCAGCACCGGAGGCCTGTCAGTAAACTGGATCTGGAGGAGAAGAGGAGGAGGGAGGCCAGAGAGAAAGGTATTTCTAACCAACGTACAAGTGCCTCTAATAATGTGTTTAGAAAAATTAAAACAAAGTATGGGCCATATTTACATGTGGATTCATAACTTTTGTATTTCGTGCAGGTTACTATTATGAACTGGATGACTCGTATGATGAGAGTGATGAAGAGGAGGTGAGAGCCCATCTCAGGAGAGTAGCAGAGCAGCCCCCACTCAAGCTCGATGACTCCACAGAGGTAAAACACCACCCAAAAATAAATGCCTTCTGGGTTTTTACATAAAATTTTACCAAATATCTCAATAAAACTTTGCATATTTTATTTGTTTTTTCTCTTTGTATAGAAATTAGATTTTCTGAAACATGTAGGCCTGACTACGGTCGGCAGGCGTGATGAGCTCGTGCAGCAGAAGAGAAGGAAAAGAAGGAGAATGCTCAAAGAGCGTAGCCCTTCGCCACCTGCCTCACAATCAAAACGCACTCCTCCCCCTCCTCCTCCTCAGCTCAGCACACGCTTCACTCCTGAGGAAATGGACAAGGCACCAGAGCTGGAGGATAAGAAGCGATTTCTCACTATGTTTAAACTCTCCCATGTCACTATGCAGCAGAGAAAAGGTCAGTCTATGGAGGAGTTACTCCCTCTAGCTCTATTAAATCCAACATGCTAAATGTTTGGTTAAATCAGTCTTCCATTTATTCCAAATGTGATAGAAGTTGTTTGTGTATATTTCAGAATCTACATAATATAGTTAAAGACATGCAAGAGTGGTTAGAACAGTCGTCCTCCAATTCAAGAGCTGGGGGTTCGATTCCACCAGCAGTCACATGCCGAAGTGTCCCTGGGCAAGACACTGAACCCCTCATAGCCTCCGATGTGTGTCCCATCGGTGTATGAATGTGATAAAGCACTGATTAGCTTTGAGTATCTTGATAAGATGGAAAGGTGCTATAGAAGTGCAGTAGTCCCTCGTTTATCGCGGAGGATCTGTACCCTGAAGACCTGCAATAAGTGGAAAAACCATGAAGCAGGACTATTAGTACAAGTATTAAGTAGTAGTTTAGTATATATATATATATATATATATATATATATATGGTGTTTTAAACCCTTCCCACACTCTTGCAATATTCTAAACAATGTTTCTAAACTCTAAAGCTGTAAAAGAGCACAGAATGCCATTTCAGCTTCCTGCCTCTGCTGCTCTTTGCCACCTGCAAGTGCTCTTGGCCACGCCCACTTCTCCGTTCTGCACGCTGATCAGCTGCTGCAGGAAGTTCATCATTTAACATTTTAGGAACTTTTGTGTGAAATCTTTTTATCTGTTGCTGCTATTGCTGCTGTTGCTGCTGATACACTGGAATTTCCCATCCATGGGACAATAAAGGCTGTTTCTATTCTATTCTATCCTGCAGTATGGGCTGCACAAATGTGCAGCAGGTGCTAAATACTTTTTAAACAATTTATTTTAAATAAAAATTCCATGCCGATCGTGCGGCTCGTCCATCTATCAGCCAGTTGTGTCATGTCCACTCTTATTTTGAAAAACTGCGATAGAGCAAGTCCGTGATAAACAAACCGCGAAGTAGCGAGGGACTACTGTACAGTCCACTTACCATTTACTTAAACATGCATACCTATTGGCTTGTATTATTACCAAAATTTGGCTTATTTTTGTTCATGTAGTTTCGAGAAGATAACTCTGTTACTACCATTGGAACAATATCAAAACTAGCTCGTGGTAAATGTGGTTTTGGCTCAAATCTTTGTGCTGTTTTTGCAGTACAACAGACACATCAGCATAAGGAAGTTGGACACTTGTACATAAATGACTGAGCCAACACAGTGACCTTAACATGCCATGCAACATATGTCAATCACTTCTGTTCTATCGTCTCTTTGACTTCTTATTTCTTAAGTTACTCATATAATGATTAAAAACAGTCGATCGCAGTCGGTTCTGAAGTGTGCTGATGCTTCACTTTAATGAGCTCTACTTCGTGCACTACACTCGTGAACACGCTGACTCAAGCCACAAAGGAAATCATAGAGGAGTTAGAAAATGATGTCAGCCTCATACTTTTATTATATACAGCGTGCATTAAGCAGTGTGCCCACAGTGCAATGCTTTGCATTGGCCCAGTTAGTCAGGAGGACTTGTGTCAAAGCTTTCTGATGCAATGCATTTCAGAGTCCCTCAAACCAAAACTTTAACCTAAACTGAACAAAAATATAAACGCAACACTTTTGTTTTTGCTCCCATTTTTCATGAGCTGAACTCAAAGATCCAAGACTTTTTCTGTGTACTCAACAGGCCTTTTTCTCTCAAATACTGTTCACAAATGTGTGTAAATATGCGTTAGTCAGCACTTTGCACATTTTAGAGTGGCCTTTTGTTGTGGTCAGCCTAAGGCACTCCTGTGCAATAATCATACTGTCTAATCAGCATCTTGATGTGCCACACCTGTGAGGTGGATGGATTATCTCTGCAAAGAAATGCTCACAAACAGATTTACATACATTTGTGAACAATATTTGAGACAAAGGTCGGTTGTGTACCTAGAAAAAGTCTTGGATCTTTGAGTTCAGCTCATGAAAAATGAGAGCAAACACAAAAGTGTTACGTTATCGTTATTGTTTTTGTTGTTCAGTATATAAGGGAAAAGTCTTTAAAAGCTTAAATGGTCCTCACAGATGAAAATAAGAGCACACACTGCAATTGCCCTGCAATGTGTGATTTACCGTTTTCAGCCAGGAGGTGGCAGCATTCAACTTTCTTTTCTTTTTTTTAACATCAATTGGCCTCCTTAAACAAACTTAAGTGCTTATGTAGAAGTAAATGTAAAACTCACAAACAAGATGAATGTTAAATCGTGTTCTTTGTTTCGTTTTAGACAATGAAAGGGTGGTTGAACTGCTTCAAGCCATTAAAGAAAAGAGTGTAACCTTGGATGCCATCAGGCATGCACCTCATCCACTGTGCAAGAGTCCTCCATCACAGACCTCTGGTAAGACATGTCCATGAATAAACACGCTTACCCAGCCCTGAAGTGTTTGTATTGACTTTTATGATGTATCTGAGTAGACCTGTAAGTGTAAATGACATCAGTCTCTTAACTGCTGTGTTACAGTTGTATGATTGTGGATGTGATTATTGCAGATCCAGCATTTACCCAACAGTCCTCTGAATCTGAAGACCAACATAATGTCAGACATCATAGCCCCCCCTTACATTGCCCAGCATCCCCCAATGGCCATCCAAAACCCCTTGGAGACACATTAAGGCCAAAAGAACCCCCCTCTCCAGCTGTATACCCAGACAAGGCCCGGGGGCCCAGTGAAGGTCCCATCTCAAAGAGGAGCTCCAGTTTGCTAAACAGCTTGCGGCCCCCACTCCCATTGCAAGCTAAAGAGGGACTTCAGAGCATCAATGGACGCACAAAACCCTGGGACAGCTTCACCCCGGAGGAATTTGCCCAGCAGTTTCATGAATCTGTGCTCCAGTCCACTCAGAAAGCTCTGCAGAAACACAAAGGTAAACGGATCAGACCCACATTTCTCTGCAGGCGTTTCATGACAGGATGGGGAAATTCTAAATAAGTGTTTAGTTTTATTTATTTTCCCGACTTGTTGGTGAGCCCACATTTCACAGATGCAGAGACAACTAAAACATTTTACATGTGCTGTAAAAGAAGTGATCCGTATCCAAATGTACATTTGTATCGTCGTTGACATTAAAATTCACTGAATGGATAAAACGTGACTTTTTTTTCTTTCCTGTCTTGGACCTTCAGGGACAGCTGTGGGTGTGACTGAGTCGTCCCACCTCCAGGAGTCTTCTGTGCACTACAACATCCCTGAGCTTCAGAACACCTCCAGCCGGCAGCCACATTCACAGTCGCACTCGAACGCAGCGTTGTTTCCCCATCCACTGTCGCACGCTCACCCTCAGCCTAACGGACAGCACTTTTCCATGCCCCTCCACAAGGAGGTCACCGTGATGAGGGAAGACCTCTCTGGTCCTGAGAACTCTGATGAGGAAGAGGAGGAGGAAGAGGAGCCTCCGGTTTCCAAGTGGCAGGGAATTGAATCTATATTTGAAGCTTATCAAGATTATATTGAAGGTAAACAACTACCGTATTTTTCGCTGTATAAATCACAGTTGGTTTTTTTGCATAAATTAGCATGCCTGCAACTTACAAAATGACATGTTTGTTTTTTTTCCCCACATTTATAATCCAATTTTTGGCTGAGATCTAACCATTTCATTCATTCAGACATGGAACATATTGAACACTACCATTTTCAGCCACTAGAGGGCTCTTGACTAATATGGCAAGACAAGTGTCTCATTAATAGGTAAAAGTGGCTATTAATGAGACACTTGGCTTGCCATACAAAGCCACCTTCGTCTCGTTCTGGAACTCCTGGAGCAAACATCAAATCAGCTTCAGTTTGCCTCGCCGCCCAGGCAAAATGCAGCTGATTTGACCGTTAAAGTGCATTTATTAAGGCAAAGTTCAACTGAGACACACCTTTGCTATTATTTCGAGCAAACAAATAATTGTTTTTAAGTGTTAATTTTTTTAAATTCATGTTAAAGTCCTCCTGTGCACGCTCCCACGGCCGCCATTTGGCAGCCAGTCGATTTTTAGCACAGCACCGGCCCACGTTTCCGGGTGGTCAGCGGTGACGCATAATAGATGCATAAAGCAAAGCGACATATTTATGGGGTTTTTTTTCTACTTTATTAGACATATTTGGACTGATGCGACTTATACGGCGGTGTGACGTGTACGGTCAAGTACTGTTAAAACATACAGTGATGCCAGGAAAACCTTACAACTCTTTGTATGTTCAAAATTGCATGCATGCAACTAAATATTTGCTTATATGTTCTACGGCTATGCTCTTTCTAATTTAAAAATAAATTCACTTTTATGTTTTGCTTATTACCATACCAAACCAACAGCAAGGCCAACCAAAGTGCTCTTAATGATGAGGGTTTGTAGTTGTTGAATTAGTGGTTCAGTTAAATGCTTTTGTGCTTCATTTATCAAACCTAGTATTACTTTCGCAAAGGGGAAAAAAATATTCTTAACAATAACAGACAATCCCAGAAATGAAAAACAATAAAAACAAACAAACAAACAAAAAAACTGCTCCAACAATACAAGTTGTAGTTTTCCTTCGTCACTAGAGGGCAGTGTTGTTCAACATCACTCGATTAAATCAAACGTTTAAATGACCAGTTCCTTTTAGGTTCTGGTTCATTCAGCCACTGAAATATGAAGAGATGTGTCTAAACTTACCACATGGTTTGGGTTCTAGTTGATAGATCATTATAAACTGACAAGTTTCCATCTGATTTGTGACTTAAACATTATTCTTCTCTGTCCACCCACTTTTTTTGTGACAGAGCAAAGTTTGGAGAGACAAGTGTTGCAGAGCCAATGTCGCAGGCTAGAAGCACAGAACTACAACCTGAGTCTGACCGCTGAGCAGCTGTCTCACAGCATGGGGGTAAGACGCAGGACACGGGAAACGAGTTACACTTCGACACTGATGGGACTTTTGCTAAGAAATTACTGCACAAAGTGGAAGGAGCATTCTGGCCACTCTATTTTGAGATTTATTTATTTATTTAATTTATTCATTCATAAAACAAAATGAATTCATCAAAAAAGAAAAACGATGAAAAGGGTGCAGAAAGAAGGAAAAAAAAAAAAATCTGCCCCTTATTTAAAAAATAAAATAACTTTAGGCAAACAACAACTTGGGCTTGAACATCTCCAAAGTGAAAACAAAAATATTAGGCAGCCTTCACTTGACACCATACTTTCCCAACAATTTTAACTTAATCATTTTTTTAAACATATAAATTGTTTTAGAAAATGTTTATAGTGATATCAAGACAATTCCACAATCCTAATCCCTGAATTACAACGCAGCTCCTTCACACTAGTTCTAAATGGAGGTTTTACAAACATTTCCATTCCCTTAAGGTTATATTGACACTTTTTTCCCAACAAATTTTAATTTAATATTTGGGAGTAATATTTTTATGAGCTTGTAAAATATTATATTCAACCAAATCATAAAATTTTAATAATTTCAACTGATGAAATAATATATTTGTTGTGTGACCATAGCACTTCGTACTAATAATTCTTATAGCTCTTTTTTTTTGTCAAATTAAAAATAGGGTTTGTAATTGTTTTACTTGCTTTTCCCCAAACTTCAGTACAATAGATTAAATATGGAACAATCATTACATTATACATATACAAAGCTTTGTCATTCAAAAACTCTTTTACTTTATACAATAATGCAATTGATTTTGCTATTTTTATTCTTAAGTAATTTACATGAGATTTGAGATCTTACATGAGATAAAACCATAATCCAAGATGATGGCATGCGCATATAAAATACTAGAGCTGTACGTCTATATTTAAACGAGTCTTTCCTCTGTCACTCAGGAGCTGATGTCCCAAAGACAAAAGCTGGCGGTGGAAAGGGAGAAGCTACAAGCAGAGCTGGAGCACTTCAGGAAGTGTTTGACACTGCCACAGACACACTGGCCGAGAGGCGGCCATTACAAAGGCTACCCTCCAAGGTGACCCCAACACTCTGATCGGACACCCCCAACAATCACCCCTCCAGACTTAGACCCAGAGTTTATTTTTCCACAGCCTGGTCCTCGTGGCTCCATGAAGGAGAATATGGCTGGTTAGATAAGATTAAAGAAAACAAATGGACCCAGACAGGTGAATGCACAGGAGACGGGAGCATTCGGTGATGGACAGTCAAGTCTTTGGATTGTCGGGGTGTGCACCCGAAGCCACCAGCGCGTGCCAATGTAGCCAACCAGAGATCAGTGAGGCTAACCTGAGCGAGGAGAACCTATAAATCAACACACACACACAGCGTCACCTGCTTTCTGTCGTTCAGCCCCTGCATCCCCGGGCGCCACAGCCACACAGACAATCCTGCCAATGAAGGAGCAGCTTCCCCCTGGAGGGGGTTTTGTCACAAGACTTGAAAGCTCCACGCGAAGGCTTCCAGTCAGTCGGGACTGATTTTTATTGCAGCGGCCACGTGAGCTCTTGAACTGGAAATGCACTTAAGAATAAAAGCTGAAGAACTACCTGGTGGTACTGTGTTACAACAAAAAACTATTTGAATTACGGAAGAATTTAGAAAATGTACTTTCTTTTTTTTTCTTTTTTTTTTTGAAAGAATTAAGGAAATGGTTTATTTCGAAATAGAAAATTTGAAAAGAATTTTAAAGGGTGCTTCAGCCTTGTATTGTATATAATATGAAGACAAATGAATTTTGTATGTTTTTATTACGTTAATCATTGTTCTTTTAAAAGAAAAAGCCTGCCATTTTTATATGTTTATGCTTTTTGGGGTTGGAAGTAAAAAAAAAATAATAATAAATGAATAAAAAAAGCCTTGCTTTTAGTGTTTGGACGGCTGCGGGCCAGAGAAGGCTCACTTTGAGATGTTTAACGGATCGAGTGAAAGCAGGACGCGCTCCTGCTCTCATTCGGTGCTGGCACTGCGCAGCCGAGCCACAGCCACCTCGTCTGACCTCTGAGCTCAGCAAAGCGTACTCGGAGGTCACGGGACATCTCATCTCGCCTTCCTTCACAGCGACACGTCGACGTTTTAACAACTCCCCTGCTTTGCTTCACTGCTGCTGGCATGACTTTGTAATTGTAATAGCCTCGTGCTTAAAACCAGATCCACATCCGATTTGAAGAACTTCCTCTCAACATTCATTTAAAAAAGATGTCGCCTTGGAGTCACAATAGAAATGCCTTCCTGTTATAACATACAAAAATCAAGCCCTTAACAACCGCCATTAAAAGACACGGTGCCAAAAACTGTTTGGTTTTTGACTTCAAGTTGAAATTGGGCCAAACATTTAAACCAAAAATGGTCATTTATCCCAAAACTACGAGCTGAAAAATCACATAAGTGGACATTGATTGATTGATATGTGCAGAATTCAAAATGTTTTCTGTTCAATGTGTTTACAGTCTCTGCCCTGAGGTTTGACAACCAGCTAACTCACGCAGTCACGGTTTGATGGTTGCATGTGCGACCCGAGACCCTTAAAGCCATCAATAAGTCGTCCACGTTGTTTTGAAGTTCCAATAGTAGGAACGATGTAAAACTTTAGAAATGTACTCAAAGGTCATTTATAATAATAAAAAAACAAAAGCACAACTATGCCACACTCAAAGTGCCTCAGTAATTTGGGAGCATGTGAACGTCCACGTTAACATTAGTGATCAGGGACTTTACATTGAAGCGAATACTGCATCTCTTACACCTTTCAAACACGTGCAAGTCAAGAACTGACACTAAACGTATCTCGAAAGATTAGTTCGATCGTAACTTTTTTTTTTTTTTTTTTTAAATAAGCGAGGCCTAATCCAGATCAGAGGAGCACAGTGTTGCCCGTTCATACAGCAGCAGAAAGCCAACGACGCAGCCTGCTGGTAAGATGCGTGCATGCTGAGGGAAGCTGCCAACGAGCTGGGGAGGAAGGCGCAGTCAGACGAGCCTCTTCCTCAGCCTCCCTGCGTCTCCAACCCATGCACGCCCATGCAATAGTCCTGTTACTCAGTGGAGGATGTCTAGATGCTGTGAAATCCTGTTTTTTTTTTTTTTTTAAATGTATGTTTAAATTCATTGTAATATATTGTTTGTTGAATGTAGTAATTAGGTATTTATGAATATATGGCTGTGATTTCAGACAAAAAAGAAAATAAAATACTTCAAAAATGTTAAACATTAATATTTGTGTGTGTGCATGTGTGTGTAGTAGCTGGACATCTTTAGAAATAGAAAACTTCTTGAGTTCTTGGTAGCGATGGGCAAATGATAGAGGCTTCGGAGCTTGTCACTCTTCCTGAAGCAAAGTGATTCATAACACCGTGTTGGAGTTTGAACCAGAACGCAGTCACGTGATGACGCTCCAAGCTTCATGGCTCAGAAAGTTTCAATGCGCTCTGACCAGTCAGTTTAGTGCAGGGGTCTGCAACCTGCGGCTCTGGGGACACGTGGCTCTGGTATTTCTGCAGCGGCTCTTTCAAGCTTTGACCAAAATAAAATACATTTTTAGGGATGCATCATGTTGGATTTTTGGCCGATACCAATACCGATGTATATACATTTTCCTAGACCTACTTACAGAGACTACACGGCTTTCTTTGCTGTGGAATTAAAATACATTATTCTGCATGGTCTTTGGATGGATGGACTGCTGGTGAGGTTTTGTTTCTCTGTGGTTGACCGCTCTCTCGCTTTCCTATCTGGCCACCATGAACTCATCGTAATGGTCAGAATGGTGGTTCTTGAGATGGTTAATTAGGTTTGAAGTGTTGTAGGACTTTGTTTTCGCTCCTCCTCGCATCACTGACGCTGAGCAGTCATTGCAAATAGCAGTTCTGCTGTCAGTTTCCAACATTAAAAAAAGTGTGTATATATATATATATATATATATATATATATATATATATATACACACACTTTTTTTTTATATATAGGGAATGTCCGATATTTAACTTTATTGCCAATATTGACCAATACCATGCCGATAATATCGCGCATCCCAATAAATTTTATTTAAATTACCAACAATGAAAATGGCTAGTTTTAGCAGATTCCCTGACATTTTCAAATATGTGAACGATAGTACAAATACAAGACGTAAAACCTGGACTACATCGTGCTAGTACTTTGTAGCCACTGTGTCGACGTCCAGTTTCGCAGCGTGATCTTTCTCTCAAAACCAGCAGAATGTTCTGGAATATGTTTAACACAAGCTGCCGAGGAGGAATATTTGATGAAACTAAAAATAAAACGCAAAAAACAAAGTCGAAGTAAACGACAGTATTTATTTTTCTTTAAAAATGTAATTGGATATCCAACAAACAGGCCTACTTTTATAACGTCTTTAACTTTATGCTTAATTCTTCAACAATTAAAGAGAACTCACATCGGCCTGCAGAGCTCAGTGTTTAAATTTTTATAAAATTGTGAAAAATGATATTTTATCTTTCTTTACATGAATCTGGTTGTTTTTGTATTAAAATGTAAAAATATTAATAATAGTTAATACATTTTTTGTTTTATAATATCACCCCACTGGCTGGAAAAGCCATCTCCAACCAACTAGTGGTCCATGGGCCACCAGTTGACTGTACACAGTTGGAGCAGGTTTTGAGACTCCAAACATTTTAATTAGTGAGCAAAGTGGCAAAAATGGCTCTTTATCACAAAGGACCTCTGGTTTAGTGCACAAGCTACTTAAGATGCAACGTTATTCTTAAAAAAAATGTAGGAGAAAGAAGTTTTGTAAAGTAAAACAAGTAGTAGTTCGTCAACTTTCAGTAAACAAGAGTTCAAAGGTTTGGGATCAATTTGATCTTATTCCACCAAATAAAGCAGGAGCTACAATTTGTCTTTTAAATGTCAAAATTAAACTGGAACAATTTGTAGCTTCCCCACTGACGTTATAATTTAGTACATGCCAAAAACAGCCATAATTGTTTTAAATTAAAGATGTTTATCAGAAATGCACGTCTTCTTTAAAGCGTGTGAATCCAGGAGAGACTGGGTCAAATTCAGCACAGGACCCGGTTAGTGCACAGTTCAACGGTTCAATCCCAGACTGTCATTATTGTCGAGACAAGGTCCAGTCCTGCCCAGCGGGCCATCAGAGGTCCACGAGCTGGCCCTTCCTGGAGCCAGGCTGCACATTGGAGCGCAGCTTGTACATGCAGTTGAGAGAATCGAGAAGAAACTCCCGTATGGTGTTGATCTCCATCAGAGTCAGGTTGTCCAGCTGCAGAGGGAGACAAGAAACATGCTCAGGTTTCCAAACGCCCTTTGCTTCAAGCCTCGGGGATAAAAAAAAAAAACGTTTTTAAAGAGAATGCATAAAGTTTAAACATTTCTAAATAAAAAAATGAAAATGTCAGCAGCTCTACCTAAATCACGAATGTAAACGTGGACTTGGTGGCAGATAAGTATGACAGCTATTCTTTACACCAGCCCACCCTTATAAGTGCCATTATTGACCATTTCAATTCAAAATGCTTTATTAATCCCAAAGGGAAATTGAATGTTGTAACTCGTTCTCCTCGTTTCATTGAGATGTTATAGATCCTGTTGGCTGTAGGCAGGAAGGATCTCTTGTAAACGTCTGTCTCACAGAAGATCTGAAGAAACTGGCCGCAGATGCCATTCACCCAGACTCAGCTGGTCTCTCGGTTCCTCCGGGCTGCAGGATTGCCCGAATGTTGAGCAGAACTCCTCCCAGAGTGACGGCCACTCCTCCCAGCAGCCTGCTGAGCTCCTCGTCGCTGCGGACAGCTGGCTGCAGGTGCCGGGGGACAATCCTGGTCCATCTGCTGTCACGAGCCATGTTTCCTGCTAGTTCCAGGATCTCAGTGGTCTGGTACTCGAGCACAGCCGGCAGGTAGATGAGAATGCATCCACGGCACCTCCTTTTCAACTCATTTGAGATTTGGGGCCGTAGTTGATATTATTTGAGCTTTTGAGATGTTAATCAGCTGCTCCCAGTTGTCCAAAAAAAAAAAAATTTTGTTGTCATGGTTACGCATCATAATAAATGTCCAAAAATTAAAGTTTCAGTAAAAATCGTTCCAGCTGCACAGCATCTGATACCAGCAGAAATAATCATCCAAAATGTGGTTTACATCCAGAAAAAGAGGAATTAAAAGTTTCCAAAAGCAAAATCTCAGAATGAAAGTAACGGAAATTCTAGAATTTATTCCCAAGTTACATGGTAGATTGGATGGATGGTGGTGGTGGTGGGGGTGTTAATGGACACATTCTGTAATGAGCCAGACACCTGAACCCTAATATGTGAGAGAACAGGAAGCAGGTGGGACACCGGCTAAAGGGATAATCCCAAGTATTCTGCAAGACAGCGAAACAATGGCTGATAATCCCGTTAACTGGGAATAAAAACTTTAGGCGGTGCAGAATTTAATTTATGTACAAAATTAATGTTCATAACCTTAATCACATTTTTTAGGACGTTTTCACCGTTTATCAACAACAACAAAAAACAAACAAACAAACAAAGAAGCAGTTTCTAAACCAGATTCTGAAAATCAGACCAAATGGAAAAACGATTTAAACTGCAGCCGTCTGTTTGTTTAGTCGATGCATCGTTCAGTTGGCGGCACAGAAAGCTAAGTGCTCGCTCTAAGACATGTTCAGGTTAAACTCCGTCACCTGGGCGTGAGCCTCCTGCTGACTGATGAAGCTGTCGGCAGACAGGCGGAGTTTGGCGATCCGAGTGTCCCAGATGTCTTTGACCAGCGTGCGGATTTCATCGGCTTTGGGAATGTTGTCAGATGCACTAAACACACACACACACACACACATCAACAAAACACATCAGGTCGGAAGAAGGCACGTTGGTGTTTGAGACTCACTGGTTCAGCAGCAGTTTGGTGAGCTCCATATAGTAAGGACTGGGAGCCGGAGTAAAGGCGTCTTCTTTTCTCTCGAGCTCCCGCGTCTCCTCCAGTTTCTCTGTATGACGGAGGCAGAACATTTAAAGCAGGAAAACAACAAAATTAATGCATGAGAATAAATTTTAGAGTAAAAACAATTTTTTTTTTACCCTAAAATTTGTTCAAAACAAGCGAAACGGTAAAAACAGCTGGAACTATTTAAGACATTAAATAATTTTACTGTGAGTTTGAATCCAATTTTTAATAAAAAGTTAAAACCTGCATGATTCAAACATGGTGATGGTGGGGGTGGGGAGCTGGGGATTGGTCAAATTTGTCAGGTGCAAAAAAAAAAAAAGGCAGACAATGTCTTAAAAAGAAACAACAACATATAACTTAAATATTTAAAACAAGTTTGAAATTGACAAGAAAGCATTTGTCATTTGAGTGATGTCACAACAATAATACATCAGCTGAGTGCTTAAAGATGCACTTTTATAAGAGTACAGTAGTTTGACATCAGGAAATGTCTGAAATTATCCTCCACAGCTGCTAAACAACTTCATTGTTAAAATGTTCAGTGAGCTCAGCCACATAAAAAGATGTCAACATAAATAATTACCAACATCCATCCAGTCAGGGGGGATGATCCTACATTTCTGTCTCTGTTTTAGGTTGAGAGCCAGCCACACAGGGACATCCACAGGCAGTCCGGGGTTGAAAGGTCCCAAGTCCCCCTGAGGACAGAAAGACGGTTCTTGCCATTCATTCATCTGTCCGCGAACATCTGACGAAATGACTCCTCTCATACTTACCCCGATTAAAAAGATCTTGTCGAGGCTGAAATTTGGGATTATTTTCAAAAGCTCTTTCTCGGCTAGGAACTCAACCTCTAACGGATCCATGGCTGTTTCTTACTTCGTCTCTTGAACCTTCTCAAAGCTAGTTAGCTACACAACTCTTTCGACGGTTCCCGCGCTGGAAATCCAAGGCGTGGACAGCTACGTCATCAACAGGAAGTACGAAACAAAACACTTTAAATACATTCTCGCCTAAATATTGTACCATAATATGAGAGGATTTAAATAATTACTATGTGTGAGATAGGCTAACAATGATTACAGTGACAATACCATATGAACAATACGATGATTTTTTATTATTATTAGTTTGACCGGAAGTAGAAGTCACGTGATTGAAGTAACTCTTTCAGTGGCCGCTAGAGGGAGACACTGTGTAAGTTACTGTTGAAGTTATCCGCGCGCGTGTATCTTTTGCAGTTGCAACATTTGCTAGCGATGTTCTCGGAGTACTACAAGTTTATCACCAAGCGATAAAATAAGTTATGCTGCTAAATTAACATTAGTTAATGGGATACGTCTTAATGACCCGCACGTCTTACATGGAGGTGAGTGGAAGGGCTTGCCATACTATGATCGAGACACCAAGTGTGTATTCCCGGGAGAGCCTGAAATCCTACAAAAACACTGTCTGCCTACAGTTATGTAACGGACAATCATGTTCAGGACATTTTATTACATGATTATAACATTGAAAACTTCGTGTCTCTGAAGACTGAGGTGCTACCGAGTCAAAAACAAAGGAAGAGAGACCACGGAGATGTTTAAAGTGTGGGTAAAAACAACTACATCCTGACCACGAACTGCACGTGCATGGCAGGGTATGTAATTTAGAATGATTATGTTATACATTAATATTAACTTGCTTTTCATCACTATATAACCTCACTGTGATTATAGTGAACATCTCACAACTCATTTGCAGCGGTGCATGTGGAATTATTTAGCTTTGTCACCATTCAGCTGCAGAAAGAAAAGCTTTGCAGAGAGTGGTGAAGGCTGCACAGAAATCTGTTGGAATCAGCCTCCCCACCATCACAGACATCTACACCTCCAGATGCAGGAAGAGGGCCACCTGCATCATGAAGGACCCCACTCACCCAGCACACACACTTTTTGCCCCACTCCCCTCAGGAAGGAGGTTAAGGAGCATTAAGTGTAGAACCACTAGACTGAGGAACAGCTTCTACCCTGAGGCTGTTAGACTCATGAATCTCTAACTAGAATAATCACTGTGAAAAACCATATCATGTTGCTGCTGATCTGTTTCATGTTGCTGCTGATCTGTTTCAATGTTGATGTGTTCATGCGTGCACATCTGCTCACAGACTCATGTTTATGTTTGTGCTGATGTTCAATGTTTTATGTTATGAGTGCTTAGTGTATATTTAGTTGATGTTTTTCTTAGTTCATATCTTGGATGTTATTGCTGTTTTTCTTATACATTTTATTGTTGGATGTAACTGGGACCCTGTGTACATAATTTCGCTCCACCACTTGTACCACATGAGGTGCGAATGACAATAAAGAAACTCTGACTCTGATTCAAACCAATGTGTCTATTGCTTATTGTAATTTCAGCTTGGGGTCATGCTGCAGTCATGCTGCTGCACTGATGCTCAAAGTGGAGCTGTGGGTCAGGCAGACCGAGCAGTTCTGTACCTCAGGAACAAACAAGTGGCTTCTCACATCCAGAAAAAAGGTGAAGGCAGCCGGATTGAGTGAAATCTGTTTAAGGCGGCCAAAGTGGACAGACACAGGCTTACTGCAACCAGCCAGAAGGAAGAGACAGAAGCTCAATGTCAAACGTACAATTTATGTTCATTTATGTTAATTATAAAGCTGATCAACTATTAATCAGTAAATGCTACCATCACCCGCAGTAATGTTCTATGAAAGACCACACACTAGACAAAGAATGCAATAGAGGAAACCAGCTTTTTTATTTTCTCGTTTTAAAATGGGCAATACATAATTATTTTTATATTATTGCTATTATATTGCAGTACTGTGTTGTATCCCACACATTTTGTTTCTGTGTGTCGTCCAACACGTTTTCTGATTGTGCAGCGTTGTCAGATGAAGACATTAAGAAACTGAAAACGCTGGTCCCCGATGCAGTTGTGTTCACTAGTCTGGACTCCAGTGACACGGATAGTGCATCACAATGTGACCATGAGGATGAAGACCCGCTGGAGCCACCGGCAGCTCATTGTCTGTAATAACGTGTTAAATTATACAAACAGTAGTTCATAATATGAAAATCACTTCAACGTATGTTTTTAGATTTACGTTGGTGCTAAAACATTGCTTATGGTAAATGTTTGCAATCACTGGCATACACTGATGTGTTTAATTTTGACACTAACGTAAAACTGAGGTTTTATATTTGAATCAATTCAAGTGTTCGAAAGTTGTCTAACTGTATAAATTAAGTCAAGTTTTGCAACTTATTACAGCTTTTATTTCAGTGATGACCTTTGATTGAAGTCTTTAACTCTCATATCACCTTCGAATATGTTTTTAGATTCCTATTTAGAATAAACACAAAAGTATGTGCAAAGAGTTATGGCTTTTCAGATGTTAATGCTACAACTTTATGCATTGAACTCTGAAACCTCATTTTCTTGTTTTGTGCATTAAATCCTTACAATGTAAGTTTATATATAGTAACCAAATGTCATTGCTTCTTTTCAAGTCTTTAAAAATGCTACTAAAAACAGAAGGTGAATTAAATAACAGTTTTTCTAAGTCATACTAGATCAGGTCTCAAAATGAAGGGAACAAAACAACACTCAAATCTGAATGAAATCATTTTATTAGAAACTTATTGTTTGAATTTAAACATATTAACTAGACCTGTCGCGATAAACAATGAATCAATTAATCACGTTAAATAAAAATGATCAACCTCATTTTCATTTATCGGCTTTATCATTTCTTCGTGTCTCTTTCTACTGGACATTGGATGACAGAAGGCTCAACTCCGGTGCTCTTCACTGACCCCTCACGTTCTCTTTAAAATTTGTTTTAACCATCCAAAATCATGTTTTTTGGATTGTTAAAAGCAGCTAAGCTAAGAAGCTAAGCTAACAGTCCTGTGACAAATGCTATGCAAAATAGTCAAACCACATCGAGCATCTGCCATTTTGATAACCGAAAAACAGGAACGAGATAGAGCCCATGTCACGTCAAGGGGCCTCCCTCCCATTTTTCTTAAAGCGACACGCTGCTTGCTCCCTCACTATCCATCCTTCGGTTCAATCAGTCTTATACTGCCAAATAGGTACTACATTAAAAAAATTAACCAACATTTCTTCTTAAATTTGACACTAATTACTAATTGGTGTCAAATTTCAAACAATATTATTGTTTATGGCAATAATTTCTGAGACAATTTATCGCCCAGCAAAATTTGTTCTAGTATGAACACGTTTAAAAGAGTTTAATGCTTTTAAAACCCTAAATCAAATCTTTGTCCACACTTTAGTCACTCATTCATTACAATAGCATCTGAGAGCAAAATCTTTCATTTATTAACTCAAACTAAACAAAATGCACCGTGGCCTGAAACAATTCAGTTCAACCTTTGCAATGAAAGTTTTTTTTTTTTTTAATGAATCCAAAGGGTAAATATTATTTTTCATAAGATTTACAAATAATCCTAACTTTATTTCACAAATGTTTCACAAGTTGAACATTTAAGTAATCTATAACAAATTAATGGAAAAAAGTTTCAAATAATGTCTATAAATTTTGATATTTATGTTTTACTGAATGATAACTGCAATTTTTACATATTAACAGCAGAAATGCAGTTTTTCTTTTGTATCCAGCCTTTTCTGTTGCATTTTTATTTCACCTTTTGATAAATGGTTTATTAAAAATGTTCCTCTGACGAACTGATTCAGTCATAACTTTGCACTCGACTTGTTAAAAGTACACGACCCCGACATGAATACAACCTTTAAACAAAATCTGAATCAATAAACTAAAAACCTGAAATTCTTCTCAAACTTTTAAAAATGTCACTCCTGTTGAGTAAGACAGTCAAGGTAATTTACAAAAGACAAGACAGACTGATTCTTTCTGAAACCAGTTTTAATTTACATTCAATCCTAATAGTTTTCATTAAAAAGCCTCATCTGTGCAGCCAATTGAAGAAGTTAGCTTTGATTCACAAATAATTAAGTTTTAAACATCCCATTTCCTGAACACTCGTTAAAAAGAGATTTACAGATCACTTAATGTTATAAATTGATTAATCAAATATTCGTTGGAAGACAAAACTCCCACATTCGTGTGACCCGGGGGCAGCTCAGACATCGGAACAAGTCAAACAGTTTTTCAAACTAAAGCTGATGCGTTTATGATAAAGAATGACCAGCAGAACGACGTCAGGAAGAAGAAGAGCATTTACAAAAATTTACAGGCAATATTTAACTAAATCTGAACTTTATTTAATTTCCTAAAAAAAAAAAAAATCAAGTTAACAGAAAACGTTCAGTTGACTGTCGACCTGTTTGTGTTACAGTACGGTCCCGTCTCTTCAGACTACATTTAAATGTGCTAAATGTGATTTAGATCTTAAGACACGCTAACAAATTAATAAAGAACACACTTAATAATTTATTTCAAGTATCAGAAGTTAAATAATTTAGCATCTGTGGCTACTTCATGTTAAATATGAAGAAAAACGCCAATCAAAAGCTCTTGATGTTAATCTTTTGTATATAAACTCAAACTATTTTAAAGGAAAAACTAAATTCAGAAAACATTGCTTTTATCCTTTCAGCATCACCCTGTAAAGGCCAACACAGCTCAGCAGTGCACGTGTGGTGCTTGCGTTTGAGATGTTGGCCTGAGTGGGCACCGCTCGGCTGATTTTGTCGAGCTTTTAAAGGATCGAAGACTCTGTGCTACTTGAAGTAGCATCATGCACGCTGAAACTGGCCAAAGATTTCAAGTCCTAACAAAGATCCAGGACAGACTTGTTGATGACCGGGTTGGTCCAGTCATTTCTTAGATCATCCAAGTGATCGTCAAAGTCAGTCAAGTTCTCGTAGGACCTGCCCTCCAGCAGAGCTGACGTGATCTTCTGTGCTTCGCTCCAGTCCTCAAAAGAATCCCTAAAAAGAACAAAAACAGCCCCCACCCCAAAAAATTATAAATAAATAAGCTCTGTTGCCGCATGTTATCTGATAGGCATTTTAAATGAATGATAAAACGTGTTTGTAAGCTAAGATGAATGCACGATAATGGATTTTTGGCCGATATCAGATACAAATACCGATATTTTCCCCTAGACCTACTTACAAAGACTACATAGTTTTCTCTGCTGTGGAATTAAAATACTACATTATTCTGCACGGTCTTTGTCAATTTGGCCTGCTACCAAATGCAGATGCCAAAAAGGGGACTGAAAATGATGTAACACTTGAACTATGTTTAATGTCAAATTTATTCAAGATATTTACTCTCTAACACAATGACAACACTCGAACAGTGCAAGTTTGTAATTTTTCACAAATCTAAACTCAGCGCGCTTGATGTCATAACATTCTGAAATTTTCATCTTGGGTGCATGTCCACTGTGAGAGACATAATCTAAAAAATATATCCAGAAATCACAATGTATGATTTTTTTAAAATAATTTATTTGTGTTACTGTTGCAAATAAGTATTTGAACACCTGCCAATCAGCAACAATTCTGGCCCTCAAAGACCTGTTAGGGTGCATTCATACTAGCCCTGTTTAGTCCGCTTTAATCGAACTCTAGCTCGTTTTCCTAGAAAGTCCGGTTCGTTTAGGGAGGTGTGAACGCGCCATCGAACTCTGTCACGGAACAAAAAGGCGAACTCTGGCCCGGGCTAAAACCTAGGTCTCGGTCCGGTAGAAGCGAACTCCAGCGCGGTTCAAGAACAGTGTGGATGTAAACAGACCAGGTCCCGCTCCACAGGGTAAACAAACACGCATTTCTCTGACCTTATATGGAGCCGTCAGCTGCCTTGTGTGGAAAAACAATATTCTCCATGGTCTTCTGTCTCATCTTCTGCTCATGCTAAGTCCATTTTTGAAAAATTACAAAATATAACTCCTAAAACTGCTAAAACTTGATGCCACTTCGTTTTTATTTTTATTTACAGAAGACGAAGAAGACGTGTCTTCAGAGGTTTTTGTGTCGTTTCTTTCAGTAGTTCTTGGTGCAGCGCCCCCACAGGTGAGCGGGGGAATAGGTTGGTTCAACAGGTTGACTCGACTGCACAGTGCAGTGTGAATGCAAACGCACCAGCTCAAATGTAAACAAAAGCTCATGAATATTGGTCCTGAACCGAACCGAGTCTACCGGACTATCTAGTGTGAAAACGACCTTAGTCCGCCTCTAAAAAGTCCACCTCCACTCCACTTATTATTCTAAATTAGAAGCACCTGTTTGAGGTTGTTAGCTGCATAAAGACACCTGTCCACCCCACACAATCAGTTAGAGCACTGAAGATGGGTCGTGGCTGGGTCTTCCAACATGACAATGACCCGAAGCACACAGCCAGGAGAACCAAGGAGTGGCTCCGTAAGAAGCATATCAAGGTTCTGGTCTCCAGACCTAAACCCTATAGAAAATCTTTGGAAGGAGCTCAAACTCTGTGTTTCTCAGCGACAGCCCAGAAACCTGGCTGATCTAGAGAAGATCTGTGTGGAGGAATGGGCCAAAATCTCTGCTGCGGTGTGTGCAAACCTGGTGAAAAACTACAGGAAACCTTTGACCTCTGTAGTTGCAAACAAAGATACCAAATATTAACATTGATTTTCACAGGTGTTCAAATACTTATTTGCAGCAGTAACACACAAATAAGTTATTTTAAAAATCATACGTTGTGATTTCCTTTTGTTTGTTTTTTTTGTTTTTTTAGATTATGTCTCACAGTGGACATGCACCTAAGAGGAAAATTTCAGACCCCTCCGTGATTTCTAAGTGGGAGAACTTGCAAAGTCACAGGTTGTTCAAATACTTATTTTCCTGACTGTATATATAAAAACAGAGCCTTTTATATCAGTAAGTTATTTTGATGGAATGACTAATGTCAGATATTATCGCTAATACCGGCCGCTATCGATACCATGCCGATAATATCGTGCATCCCTAACGATGAGATTATTAATAAGTTTCAGATACGTACGCTGTTACTTCTCGGTTTCTCCACTTGTTTTCATGATGGTCATAGATGACCACAATGGGCTCCAAACAGCTCAGTGTTAATCTGCTGCTGTCCACCTGCATCATCAAAACAGAAAAAATACACTTCTAGATTTACAAACAGGAAAACTGTTGAAGTTTTTACATTAAACATTTCTATTACACAAATACCTCTGCTGAAAAAACAGTTTTGTTGTAGGATATTAATTTGCTCTGACTTGAAACATTAGTGAATCACAAAAATATTACAAATCTGTCGGCATGAAAGTTTCAAGTCTAGTTTAAATCATTTTTAGTACCATAACAATCGATGCTTCACTGAAGTTCTCAGAAATTCTGGCAGCCACTTTTTCTGCAACTTGGTTCGGCCTGCAGGGAAGGAAACGTGAGAAAAATGAAACGGCGTAGGGTTCAGCATGGATTATTTATGGGAACTTGGGAAGGTTTTCCTGAAAAAGCCGACTGGGAGCGTCTGTTTGGTTCTCAGTACCTTGAATCCTTGGTTCGTTCATTGGCTTGATAATAAGCAGCAATGACATAGCTGTTTTCTTTACACCAAGTGTCAATCTGAGATGGGAGCAGTGGTGATGACGACGTGTAAAAACAGAAAAGCAGGAGAAGTCAGATATATATTTTTTTGTTAAATAAAGGAAAACAGCTATCCATTCATAAAGGTACACAATAATAGATTTTAGGTTTATTTCTGTTTAACTTGTATTTGGATGCCGATTTTCCCCATTCTTTATTTTCAGAGCTCTAATAAAAAACAAGTATTATTCAATCTTTTTTTTTTATGACGCGTCATTCTTATATCTAACCAATCCTACCGAGACATTCTATAAACCTCAGTTTGCCTTGGCTATTCTAGTAAGAAATAAATGTGACGACATGTCTGTTTAATTTCAAAATCATTAAGTTTTACTACACCACCTACTATATACTTTGTTAATAAATTGTTCAAGTTTGGCCCTTTGAACAAATCGGCATTATATTTGCAATTTAATCTTCAACAGCTTCAACTGCACTCCGAAGTTTTTATTGACCAAAATTAAAATACTGGTAGGGAGGAATTGTTTACGACGTTTGAATTTCTGATTGTCACTTTTTCTTACGACAAGATTGTGTGTAATGTCATTCATTGTCATTAAAAACCTAAGTGTGATGTTTAATTCATTATCTGGATGGAATACTTATAGCATAATGTGATCCAACAGTTATCACATTTACAGTAAAGTATTGAATTTATGAAAAACACTTGCTGTATTACTGTTTTATGTTTGCACCAAATGTCATATGATGCATATATGAAGGTGAAGGCTGCACAGAAGTTTGTCAGAGTCAGCCTCCCCACCATCACACACCTCTACACCTCTAGATGCAGGAAGAGGGCCACCTGCATCATGGAGGACCTCACTCACCCAGCACACACACTTTTTGCCCTGCTCCCCTCACGAAGGAGGTTAAGGAGCATTAAGTGTAGAACCACTAGATGGAGGAACAGCTTCTACCCTGAGGCTGTTACTCATGAATATCTAACCAGGATAATCACTGTAAAAAATCACATCATGTTGCTGAATTATTTCATATTGTTGTGTTCATTCGTGCTCATCTGCTCACACAGACTCATGTTCGTGCTGCTGTTCAGCGTATTATTATGCTACTAGTGCTTAAGGGTTTTTTTTGTATATCCTTCTGCTTAGTGTGTATATCCCCCTTGTTACATTTAGTTAATGTTTTTCTTTGTTCACATCTTAGATCTTATGACTGTTTTTCTTTTACATTTTAATACTTTTTGTTGGATATAACTGGGACTCTGTGTACACACATGTACCACATGTGGCGTGTACGACAAATAAAACAACATTGAATCCTTGAATATGAATCTTCAAAAATCAACTTTGATTAAACATTTAGCTTTTGTTAGTTATAAACTGAAATGAAAAACGTAAAAAAATAAAAAATAAATGAGAATTCCAGGGTAAATTAACCTAAAATCAGTTTTAACGGGAAGTCATGAAGGACAAAGCAGATTAAACACCTGCCAGAGTAAATCAGTGCATGTGAACAGTCAAACAGAACTTTTTCATTGAAGGTTCAGAAGAATGCATTAGTTTGGGTCAACCAGAAAAACACACAACGTGCAGTCTTTCTGTGCAATACTTACCAGAGTCAAAGCTACTTCTAGCATTGGAGCCAGAGCCAGAGTACCGTGGAACAGAGGCACGCAGTCCACACACAAAACTGGTCCGCTGTGACCGTCCTTCTTTCTCTCCTTTGTTTTTTCTGCTATCAGCAATCCATTCACGGCATGATGAGGATTTTTGGCAGCATGTAAAAGCATTTTACAATACGCCTGACTCGTCAATTGAATAGGCATGTTTCTGGGGACAACTGTTGGACTGACGGTGTTCTGTCAAAGTAGCGGAGCGGCTAGTTACACGAGCGACTGCTGCTGTTAGCTATCGTTACTTCTCATACCCGAAAAAAAGTAGAAATGTCGCTCAGAATATGAAGTCTGACTTGTGGTATTTCACAAGTACATGCAATCTTTTGTAGTTATCAGAAACTGCGATAGCCGTTCTCGTTAAGCGAATAACTCGTGTCTAACAAGAGAAGCTAATCTTACGTACACCTTTCACTCGTTTCTGTTGCTGCAGCGTAGACTTTACGTATTTCCTCTACGTATTTTACGTTACGTCCCTTACGTATTTCCGTTCAGAGACCCACTTCTTCCACTTGCGGTCGGCTGTCAGGGAGATACCAGGTCATATGTTTTTAACTACCTACATTTTTTTCTAACGTTATGTGAAACGTTACTGAATTGTTTTACGCTGTAGTGCAACAATGTAAACACTGCAGCTCAAAGTAATACAACAATTTAATAATTTTGGCAGTTTTACGCACTCATTTTTATGAACGGACCGAAGACAACAAGGCTAACTTCCCGGCTAGCTATCTTTAGCATGCAGCATCGAAAATGTACAAAGTAGTGATATGCATGTTGCAAATATCGTAGTAGTTTACCACGAGCTTATGTGGATAGTTATTTACTGTGTGTCTACTGAGCAATAGTGCGGCTATATATTTTAAAAAACAATTTATTCTGAACAAATTTCTCCAGGCGCTGTGACCTTGTGTTTGTAGCTAACGCTATCACTAGCTTAGCTTCACTAAACGCTTAAAGAAAGGTTTGCCGCATATCCTCAACAGTATATCGTCTCCCATAATTGATTTATAGTGTGCGTTAAAAGGAACGCTAAGTACCCACTTTACTTACTTGCGACTATACAAATATATTAATTTATGTTCGATTAATATGTGTTAAACTTAAGCTTCCAAAAATGGTCACTTGTATTCATATTTTACAACCTGTTTACTTATGTCTGGTGGAAACGACGTTTTTATTGCCGACTGTAAAGTAATAGACGGTTTTCAGGAAGTCTTTTACTTTTCCACAACTAACTTTAATTCCATTTTCTACAGAATGCTGGCAACGAGAGCCCTTAGCCTTATTGGCAAACGTGCCATTTCCACATCTGTCTGTGTACGTGGAGGGCATGGTAAGTCAAACAAATGACCTTTTTATTTTTAGTTGCTGGTATATCAATAGATAATTCAGTGTTACTAAGAAATCTTCCAAACTGGTTTGTTGTTCAATAATAAACAATGTGTCAGCAGTGATTCCCGCTCTAAGCTTTTCTGGATTTTGTTTTGTTTTCTTTTAGCATGATTATTTTCTTCCATTGCATGTACATATTTTAGTACCAATCAAGACACTTACCCCATAGGTTTAAAATAACAGCAGAAATCAGGACAATTAAAGTAGCATATGATCCCCATCTTCATTATGTTTCTTAAAGGCTTTTTGATATAAAAAAAAGTCACACAATGACCTAAAACTTGAACCATATAAGAGCGTATATATATATATATATACATATCTATCTATAGATTCATGTACGTATATAT